GAAAGGAAACAAAAGTTCTTGCTTAAGAGGCTTCACCTCCCCAGCCTTTTGGGCAAAGCAGGTTGTTGCTACTCCTGGGCTGGACCTCCAGCTGATGGAGGTGTGAGGGGGCAAATTGTCCCCCTCTCATATTTAGCCTAAAACCCAGAAAATGTACTGAGTTTTAAAAGAGGAGGTGGGGTGGAGGTAAGGAATCCTAAACCCACAGATCACAGGGGCCTTGATATCCATCTTGTACAAAACTCCAGCAGGGACTTCCCTGGTGGTCCAGTGGTTAAGAATCTGCCTTGCAGTGCAGGAGACACGGATTTGATCCCTGGTCCGGGAAGCTGCCATGTGCCACGGGGCAACTGAGCCCATGTACCACAACTACTGAAGCCTGAAATCTACAGCCCATGCTCAGAAACAAGAGAAGCCACCGCAGTGAGAAGCCCACACACCACAGCTAGAGAAAAGCCTGTACGCAGCAGTGAAGACCCAGTGCAGTCATAAATAAGTCCAGCAGATTATTTATTAGGTATGTAAAAACTTTTTCTTGTATCTAAGCATCTCCTAAAATCTTTCCTAGTGAGTTATGGCTCTCACAGCGTGCAGAACATCACTAAAGGCTTCATCAAAGAAAATACACACACACACACACACACACACACACACACACATATACAGAGGGGGCCCAGACCTCTGTGGCTGGAATAAATTTAGGGAAGGATGGAGACTAGGGAGTCTAGGCCAGGCCCAACAGCGTGGCCAGTGAGGGTCATGCCCAGGAGGAGTCAGGTCATGTATTAAGGGCTAGATGAGACCAGAGACATGGAGAAGGAGGGGACAGTAGAAGCGGTGCTCAGTGAAGCACCTGAAATGGGGTTTGAGCACCCAAAAAATAGTACAGATCAGAGCAGAACTCTTACAGGTTGGCGGAGAGCAATTTCAGTTACCAGGCAGGAAGTAGAAATGACCAAAGCCCAGCAAATATCTTCTAAAAGTAGGTCAGGACACACTAACGTGGTTTCTCCTGTTGTCAGAGTTATTCGATTGTTAAATGAGTAAATCCTGCAGGTGCAGGGCCTGTGGATTTCAGCAAGATGTCTGACCAGGAGTGTCCTGGGGTCCTCATGGAGAAGAGTGTGGCATCTGTCATGTGTGGGACAGTTAGATCCAAAGAGCTTTGATCAAGGTCAATTCAAAAGATTTCTGTAGGAACCTCCCTGGTGGTCCAGTGGTTAAGACTGTGCTTCCAATGCAGAGGGTGCAGGGTTCCATCCCTGGTCAGGGAACTGGGATCCCACATGCCGCATGGCATGGCCAAAAAGTAAAAATAAATAAGTAAGTAAGCAAGTAAAGGTTCACAGAAGTGGTGCATCACTGATCCAAGATGACATTAAAAAAAAAAGGCATCCCATAGTGGAGTGCCACTTGGCTCTAGGAGGTCTTGAGAGCATGCTGACTGGATCCCTGAACGACACAGCAGTGAGAGAGATAGATATGTAAGAGGCCAAACGACAGGATCAGTAGTAAAAAGTTGTCACTAGGAGGGTGCAATGGGCCAAATGATGATGCACAACAGAAAGTTAAAGTTCCTCAAAGCTGACCTTGCAAATACAGGATGATGATGACAGACATGTTGCTTAACAGCAGGATACATAGTGGAAAGACTGATGAGTTTGAAAGGAGCGTGGCTGCCATCCTGGTTGACGGCATTAATGAAAGTGAAGAGTTCAGAAGAGGGGACAAGACAGCCCCACTGTATTTTGTCACACATGCTCACTTCAGGGGATGACGTCCCAAAGCATACAGAGGGGTGATGAAAATGCCACAGGCAAGGGACCTTCAAAAACCACATCTTAAGAGGAGCATTTGAAGAAAGTAGAAATGTTAAGACCAAGAAGGAAGATTTGGGAAGATCTGAAAATCACTGCAGATGGTGATTGCAGCCAAGAAATTAAAAGATGCTTACTCCTTGGAAGGAAAGTTATGACCACCGTAGACAGCATATTAAAAAGCAAAGACATTAGTTTGTCAACAAAGGTCTGTCTAGTCAAGGCTATGGTTTTTCCAGTGGTCATGTATAGATGTGAGAGTTGGACTATAAAGAAAGCTGAGCACCGAAGAATTGATGCTTTTGAACTGTGATGTTGGAGAAAGCTCTTAAAAGTCCCTTGGACAGCAAGGAGATCCAACCAGTACATCCTAAAGGAGATCAGTCCTGGGTGTTCATTGGAAGGACTGATTTTGAAGCTGAAACTCCAAGATTTTGGCCACCTGATATGAAGAACTGACTCATTTGAAAAGACCCTGATGCTGGGAGGGATTGGGGGCAGGAGGAGAAGGGGACGACAGAGGATGAGATGGCTGGATGGCATCACCAACTCAATGGACATGCATTTGGGTGGACTCCGGGAGTTGGTGATGGACAGGGAGGCCTGGCATGCTGCGGCTCATGGGGCAGCAAAGAATCAGACACAACTGAGTGACTGAACTGAACTGATAATTATCTTTAAATATTGAATATTTATTCATTTTAAAATTTTATTTTTTTTATAGTAGCTCCTTGTTGTTTATCTATTTTAAATATATCAGAGGGCACATGTCAAACTAAACTCCTAATCTATCCTTCCCCTCACTCTTCCCCTGCCATAACCATAAGTTCAATTCTCTTAAGTCTATGAGTCTATTTCTGTTTTGTAAGTAAGTTCATTTGTATCATTTTTTTAGAATTCACATAGAAGTGCCATTATATGATATTTGTCCTTCTCTGACTGACTTCACTCAGTATGATAATCTCCAAGTCCATCCATGTTGCTGCAAATAGCATTATTTCATTCTTTTTAATGGCCAACTAATATTCCATTGTGTCTACATGTGTGTGTGTGTGTGTGTGTGTGTATCACACCTTCTTTATCCATTCCTCTGTTGATGGACATTTAGGTTGCTTCCATGTCTTGGCTATTGTAAACAACGCTGCAATGAACGTTGGGATGAATGTATTCTTCTGAACCATGTTTTTCTTTGATATATGCTTCAGAGTGGGATTGCTGGATCATACGGTAACTCTTTTTAGTTTTTTTAAGGCACCTCCACACTGTTCTCCAAAGTGGCTGCATCAACTTATCTTCCCACCAACAGTGTAGGAGGGTTCCCCTTTCTCCACACCTTCTCCACAATTTATTGTTTGTGGATTTTTTGCTGATGGCCATTCTGACAGGTGTGAGGTGATATCTCATTGTAGTTTTGATTTGCATTCCTCAATTGCATTGGTTGTATGCGAAAGAGGAATGGGACTTTTATTTTTTAACCTTTCAGTAGAAATTAAAGGGAGATCTACTTTAGTTAGATCTCTGTAACACAGAGGGTGAGGGAAAGTTAGCTGAGAAGAGGGGAGAGATTTCCAGAGGGCTGTGGAGTCTCCACTGCGTCAAACTCTGGCAGCCACTTGGGCAGACCTGTTCTGTCCAGGGGAAAACTGGCTACTGCACATTTCTTCATCTCACTGACGAAGCTTCTCAGAGCCAAATATTTGTCAAAGCCAAGGTCATGAGTCAGAGCAGAGTCAGAGCAGTGTTCCTGCTGATTGCCAGGGTTGAAGACAAAGGAAAGAAGAAGTTGTCCTCATCGTGAAGGTCACTAAGTGGCCTCCGCTGCTCATAAGTGGGACTGGGGTCCCCACTCCGGTTGGACGCTGAGAAGAGCCATGAAGTTGTTCACGGAGCTCAGGCATCAGTTGCCCGATGCCGTGAGAAGTCATCTGTGTCCCTGTTGTGGAAACCCAAGTGGATCCGTCTGACCAACTGAACAGCAAGTGACAGGAAGAGACGGAAAAGACAAGAAAGAAATCAGAATGCAGCCCAAGCACTCAGTCTTCATCTCAGCGGGGCGGGGTGCCAGCCAGGGGTGGCAGAATGACCAGAGTCACCGAGGAAATGCAGAGAAATCGCAACAGCTACCTGAGGGAGAAAGGGGCTCATCTGAGAGTGAGGGTCACAGACGGGGACCAACTGGCTGATTCGGTAGGGGCGGGGGCAGCTTGGCCTTGAGAGAGAATCTAGGTACAGGAGACTCGCAGGAAGCTTTTCTCTGGGCAGTGAGACGTAATTCTGCCTTACAGACCTCTTCAGACAAGCTTCAGAGAAGGCTTTTGAAGCATTGTTCTCAAGAGACTGGGAGAGGGGGTTTCTACTAAAATGTACTGAGCACTCAGTACTTCTCATGGATGGTCTCATTTAATCTTATGGATTAGATGCTAGAATTATCCTCACTGTACAGGAGAGAAACAAGAGTCTTTTTTTTTTTTTTCATTTATTAGTTGGAGGCTAATTACTTTACAATATTGTAGTGGTTTTTGTCAGAAACGAGAGTCTTAAAGAGGTGATTACACTTGCTCACAATCTCACAGGTGGTTTAAGTCCGTTGGAACATTGGCTGCCTGACTCCAGACCTAAGCCCTGAACTCCATACCTGATGCCTCTGGAAGAAAAACATTTCAGGGCTTCTTGAAATGCACCACCATAGGGAAATCTTTGGCTTAGAACAAAGACCGAAGGGGTCAAAGCCTACAAAAGTTGAAACGCACGGAATATGAGATATTAATCAACCAAGGTAATTTAGGAAGCCAACCCTCAAGGGGGTTTAAAAAAACGGCCTAAAGGTTCCCGGGTCTTTACAGCTTCATTACCTGATTAAACAAAATTAAAACAGATACATCCCAATAAAAAAGGCAGCCAAGTTGGAGGATGAGACTATGCACAGGAAACTGCTCCCGGGCAGACACGAGGCTCATGTGATTTAAGACCGAGCCAAGAGCCTGTATAAACATTTCCAACTCTGAGAATGTGAGAACACACATGGGTCTCAAACAGATCCCTCACAGACCTCAAGGATCTTCTTCAATTAGAGCTGTATATTTGAAAAAATGGAAAAGCTGCCCAGAGAACATTTAAATGTAGGGTCACACACACAAAAAGTTTTTATGTGAATGTTCACGGCAGCTCTATTTGTCATTTCAGCTTCCTGGAAAAACTGGGGTCCGTCCAGATATCCTTCAGTGAATAAATGTTGGTTACATGCACACCATGGAATATTCCTCAGCAATGAAAAGGAGCAAACTATTGATACAGGCAACAACTTGGATGAATCTCCAGAGCAATAAATAGGCTGAGTGAAAAACAGCCAGTCCCCTACATATGATCCTATTTACATAACATTTTTGAAATAACAGAAGTTTAGAAATGGAGGCCAAATGGGCAGTTTCCAGAGGCTGGGGGTGGGGACAGGGGAGGGAAAGGGTGTGCCTAAAGATGGGCAACAGGAGGATGCTTGTGGCTTGGGAACTGTGTATTGCCTGCGGTGATGGATACCAGAACCTACACGGTGATAAAGCTGTTAAGAACTTTACACACACTGAAACACAGTGAGTACCAGTAAAATTGGGAGATTAAATCCGATAGGTGGGTTGTGTCAATGCCAGTGTTCTGTAACATTACACTGCAACATTAAGGTGTTACCACTTCAGAAACCTGGATAAAATATACACGGGCTTTCTGTATTACGTATTACAAATGCACAAGAATCTAATATTATCTCAATAAAAACTGCTATTAAAGGACTTCCCTGGTGGTCCAGTGGTTAAGAACCCGCCTGCCAGGCTTCTCTGGCAGCTCAGTGGTAAAGAATCTGCCTGCCAGTGCAGGAGACACGGGTTCAATTCCTGGTCCGGGAAGATCCCACATGCGGCAGAGCAAATAAGCCCGTGCATCACAACTATTGAGCATGTGCTCCAGAGCCCGTGAATGGCAGCTACTGAGACTTCAAGCCACAACGACTGAAGTCCACGCGCTCTAGAGACCGTGCTCCGCAACAAGGGAAGACACTGCGAGGGAAGCCCATGCATGCAACTAGGCGTAGCCCCTGCTCACTGCAACTAGAGAATAACCTGTGCAGCAACAAGGACCCGGCACAGCCAAAAGCAAATAAGTACATAAAAATTAAAAAAAAAAAATAGTCTGCCTGCCAGTGCAGGGAATATGGGTTCGGTCCCTGATTTGAGAAGATTCCACATGCTGCGGGGCAACTAAGCCCGTGCACCGCAACTACTCAGCCCACGTGCCGAGAGCCCAGTCTCCACAGTGAGAGAAGCCACTGCGGTGAGAAGCCCGCACACCGCAACTAGAGAGGCGCAACTAGAGAAAGCCCACATGCAGCAAGAAAGACCCTGAGCAGCCAAAAATAAACTAATTAATAAACATATTTTTTAATTGCTATTTTTAAAAGATGAGCTGGTTCCCCGTCCCAGGAGAATTCCAGTGCTGGTTGTATGCCCCCTGACGAAGGTGTTGTTGGGGGGTTTACTGCATGGGGCGGTCCTCCCAGTTCTCCTGCCGTCTTAAGGGCAATGAGACCCTTCCAGGGCAGTGAGGAGGTAGCTGAGCATTGCACAGGGTCCTCCATTTCTGCCAGTCCACAAATGTGCAGGGAGAATCAGAGAGAACTAGAATGTCCTCCTTACAGATGCTCGTTCTCTTATACCAAGAGGAAGAGGTGAGCTGAGCGGCTCTGAAGGTATTTGGTAGGGCTACCTCTATCACCGTCTGCTTTTCCCTAAAGGCTGGGCTCCCCTGGGGTCTGGGGGTTCAGGCAGCTCCCCTGGCAAAAATAAAACATGAACGTTCACGTTGCTACTTAGAATCTGGAGGAAACTTGGAAATCCTCTCCCCAGTAAAAGAACCTTCTAGATGGAAAGAGAACAGGACTATTTTGAGACCTAGGAAAGACGTGGATGTTCAAGGAGGTAAAGGGGTCTTGAACATTGTCCGAGCTGAAATGCACCAGCTTCTCCTAAAGGAAGTGTTTCCTTCCTGGATAATTTCAAGGCCAGTTTCATGTAGACGGTTATTCCTCATAGATCTCTTCAACAGTGAAATGGACAGATGTGGGGTGTCCTTAGACTTCTCTTCCCCCCTAGGTTGAGGCCAAGAGAGACATCCCTTAGGTGAACTGACAAACAAGGTCCCTGAGACTGGCCACAACCTGCCCACGCAGCCCACGTGGACTGGGCACTGTCTCAGGACTTCCTGGCCAGGGAGCTTCCTCCACTGTCTCTGGGGTCCCCGTTCACCACATGCTCTGTGTCCTTATTCCAGGACCTAGCCCAGTACGTGTGATGTCAGACTCAGGGTACCAACCTTTTTATTTTTGGCCACCACACTATGTGGCATGTGGGATCTTATTTCCCCAACCAGGGGTCAAACCTTTGCTTCCTGCAGTGGAAGAGCAGAATCTTAACCACTGGACTGCCAGGGAAATCCCCCAGGCACCAGCCTTTAAGGAATGTCCAGAGTCCTAACCGACCCCAGCAAAGTCAGCTCTCACCAGGCCTCCAGCTGACGGCACCTGAAACTCATGGGAAAGTGGGAGTGATAGATGATAACACAGGTACGAAGTCTCCTCTGAATACCCTCTGCCTTGCATCTGCATCTCCCTGTATCCACATCTGCCTTCCGTGTGCCCTCAAAGAAGGCTTGGCCCCCACAAAGGCGCTTTGCATTTACTGCCACCTAACACAATGCAGACTACCTGCATCTGCCTGTAAATCCATTTTTAAAGTGCAGCGAGGAAAGCTGAAGGAAGGGGAAAAACAGGGCCCCAGTTCAGCCCTGGAGGCTGCATTGTTCTCACATCAGCATTGTTTCCCCCCACAACCCCTGGGGAATCAAATGGGATTGTTTTTCCCCAAGACCGAGCTCTTCAGGTGTGAGCTCGTTCCTGGACAACGGTGGTGACTGTGGCATTTCTGCAACAGGAAAGAGGAAGGAACTGTTGATCTGCGTAGCCAGGGCGCCAACAATGTGTGCCCCCCCAGACAGCCGGCAGCAAAGAGGAAAAGAGCTCAGTGTCCATAGTGATAAATCACTGGGAAGCCGGAGGGGGAGAGTCGGCAACAGGGTTTTTCCTTTCCTCTGGTTCCCCTGCAAACACCGTCCCAGCTCCAGAGTCTGGTAGCAGCCTGGCACCTCTCCAGGCTGAGACTCCAGAACCACAGGTAGAGGAAGAGGGAGGGGCCACAGCTAGATGGAAATCGACCTGGAAAACCCTCCACTGCTGAGAGCAGAAGGGAAGGGGTTTGGGCTCCTCTTAAAGATGAACATCGGGCCCAGCAGGACATTACACCTGAGTGGCCTCGTGCCAACTGTTAAGCTCCACCATGTATGCCACCCACATTATTCCAGTTCACAGGTTTCCCAGGTGGCTTGAGTGGTAAAGGATCTGCCTGCCAAAGCAGGAGATGCAGGTTCGATCCCTGGGTCAGGAAGATCCCCTGGGGAAGGAAACGGCAACCCACTCTAGTATTCATGCTTGGGAAAATCCCATAGACAGAGAAGCCTGGTGGGCTACAATCCATGGGGTCACAAAGAGTCGGACACGCTTAGCACCAGCACCTATCTTACATTAAGCCCTGCACGATCCTGGGTTCTATTATGTGAGCCACACACATATGAGTAATACTGGCCTTCTGCAACAGAACAGGCCTAGTGAGGGAGGGAGATGGGCCAGAGACAACTCACCAAGTTAAGACAGTTGCTGCAAGCTGCTCCTGAAAGTCTTCAGGGCTCGCGCCTGAGACTCTTTCCCCTGCTCAAGTTAGACTGTATGTCCCAAGGAAAATTCCAGTTTTTTGGAAACGCTCTGAAATGTTTGTCCCGAGCCTTGCTGGTTGCTCTTCTTTGTGCCTTGTTTATTCTCTTGCCTTGTACCTTGGCATATGCCATTCCCTCTGCTTGAAATGCTGTTCCCTCACACTCTGGTCAGCTAACCTCTCATGCAAGATGCCTGGGCAGGTTTCCCCATGGTTCAGACACCTTGCTTTCTGGGCTCCCACAGAATTTACTCTGACACTATGTGAGTCAGCAGAGTAGTAGTAAGAAAATGCTCTTCTAGGGCCAGACGAGCTGGGTGATTTCGGGGGACTTGATCTCTCTGAGCCGCCACTTCTCACAGGCAGGATGGAGAGAACAATATTACAGCAAGTCCCCTGCATACGAGCGAGTTCTGTTCTGAGAGTAGATGCCTTTAGTCCAATTGTCCGTAAATCCAAAGAAGTTAGCCTAGGTACCCAAACAACACAATTGGCTATATAGTACTGTACTGTCATCGGTGTATAGTACTTTTCACACAAATAATACATATAAAAAAACACAAAAAATAAAGGAAACATTTCTAATCTTACAGTACAGTACCTTGAAAAATACAGTGGTACCAGCTACATCACCACTGCTTTTACGCTTGCTTCCAGACATCCTGGGCTTAAAATAAAGATACTGTACTACTGTACTCTATACAGTACCATAAAGTACCCAAAAGCACTACTCATAGAGGATGCACACACGTGACAGTGTACGCCAGACACGTGAACTAAGTTACGTGATCGGACATGCGAACACATGTTCGAGTGTTTGAAAGTTCGCAAGTTCGTATGGCAGGGACTTCCTGTATCTGCCTTCTAGCGTTGGTGAGGATTAGATGTTAACACACACAGAGCACTTGGAAAATGCTGGCACACAGCGTTTTCGTGCTCAGTAAACAGGCTGCTAAAGGGTCAGCTGTCTTAATGGGGAGGCCTTCTCTGGTGCAAACCCTCAGACGGAACGGCTGTAGCCTTCGGTGGGACGTTCAGCAGTATGTGTCAGAAGAACTCTGAATTCACGGAAGCCCGCTTTCAGCTACCATGTCCACACTAGGCACAGTGTGAGTATATGAGCTTGACACACACTATCTCAATTCGTGGAGTCACTCCAAGACTGGGCCCAGGAAGCCAGGCGTCAGCATTCACCCTGTGAGGCGTGTGGGGTCCTTGATCAGCCCCTCAGATCGCCTGAGAACCCCTCCCACCCTCCTTGCCTGCCCGCCCTGGTTGGGCCGGGAAAGGCTCCCCGCTTAGGGCCAGGCCAGGAGGCTCTTGGCCTTCACCAAAGCCGGGCTGCCCCGGCAGTCTGTAAACACGTAGAGACTGAAATAATCCACGTAACTGCACCCCAGAGGCCTGATTTCTGGGTCCACAGAACTCACCCCACCGTGACTGTGAGGTGTGTGGTGGGACAATGTAATCCAAACTGCATATGGGGTGACCGGATCTCTCCGTGGTTTCAAACTCAGAAAAAAATGAAACCAAACTCTTCACGCAAAT